CTTCCAGGCAGCCTTCTGCCACCTCCACGGTGGCTGGGCCACTTCCTGGCTGAGGCGAGCACCAGCTGCAGGAACCTTGGACAACATCTGGCTAAGCAGACAAGGGCAGGGAAAGCAGGGGGTCCGGCGTGGCCTGCAAAAACCAGTGCCAGGTCCCTAGAGACCTCCGTGAAACTCCTCCCACAAAGAACAACCTCAGCCACTGCCATTCACTGAACATTTACTGCTCACCAGGCACATGACCTCATTTAATCCTCATATTTAGTCTCTGGAAAGGAGGGCCTAGTATCACCTCCAAGGCCTTTCATCCAGGAGGCGACAGCGGGGATGTAAAAACCAGGTGTGTCTGATTCAAGGCCCCACTGAGTTATAATTTTGACCTGGGTCTCTAAGTCTCTTATCTCAACTGCTGTATCTCAGCCTGGAGGCAATGGGGTATCAGGGAAGGCTTCCTAGAGGAGGGGACACCTGCACCGAATCTCTGAAGATGATAAAATGAATCTAGCCAGTGAGGGAGCAGGGTGTCAGGCAGACGAAATGGCACGTGCAAAGACCCGGTGCTGAGATGCAGTAGGAAGGTGACAGTGTGGCAGGAGCTACAGTTTGGTGGCTCAGAGGAAGAGGCGGGAAGAGGCTGCAGGGAAGAGGGCAACAGGAGCGGGTTACAGAGGACCAAATACAGAGAGGTCTCCACTAACTTTATCCTCCAGATACTTGGGAGCCCCAGGATGACACTGGAGGGTGGAGTTGCCTGGTCGGATGAGGACAGGGAGGTTCAGAGAGGAGCAGCACTGTTGTCCAATGGCTCCATCCATGAAGGAGATGAGGCTGGGTCCAGTGTCAGGAGCACGGGTCCAGGCCACACATTGAGGGACAGAGGCGGTGGGGCACAGGCCGGCAGCTGTGGCCGAGCTTTAATCATTTATGAGGCTGTCCCCCAGCAAGCCTCAGCACTCCTGCAGCCTGGCCTTGCCCAGCTAATGAACTCTCAGCCATGGGAGACCACCCTGCGGCCACTCTCTATTAAACCTGGGATGGAAGGGTGATGGGATAGCAGAAGAGTCCAAAGAAGCCTGAACAAAGTAGAGGTCAGTGAACCCAAAACTGGTCCACCCGTCCGTCCACCCAGCCTTTCCGGGAGAAGTACAGAACTTTCTGGAGGAGGAAGCGAGGTGGGAGGAGCCTTAAGATGTCATCTCAAGACAGAGAAATGAAGGCCTGGGAAGGACCTACCTAAGGTCACCAGCCAGGACTTGAGAGTACAAGCTCCAGAGCTGGCACCTGCATTCACACCCCGGCAGTTCTGCGTTCTTGGGCCATTACAGAACCCGTCAGTGCCTCGAGGAGATGGGACTAATTCAGGTACTTCAGAGTATTGTCCATTTTATGGAACAGAAGAACAAGGGGCGATGCATGGACAATCTCAGCACGATGCTGGGGCCATGGCACATGCTCAGTCAGTGTGCACTGGCACTGTGGTTACTGTTGTTACTCTGGGAGCAAAGGCTGGGGCAGAGACCAAAATCTCTGCCTCTGCCCCCAGACACTAGGAGCAACAGGAAACTGAGGCCCAGGGGCCACCTGGCCTACGTGACCCAGGTCCACAGCCAGGAAGCCCACCTGACTTCCCCTGGCTGGGCCACCCCTTGGCTTCCTGGGGCCTGGCCCTCTGGCTTCCAGCTCCTTCCTCAACTTTGAAGTTCCTTTGAGCTGAGCCCCAGGAGCTTTTCCCTTTTCTATCCAGCAAGCTCCAGCTATGTCTCCAAAGGGCCAAGTCCCAGCCATTGTGGATGAGGCTCAGGACTCAGAAGGCCTCCGTATGAGTTCCAGCTCCAACCCTGAGGAGCTCTGTGACTCTGGGGGCACCACTTCACCTCTCTGAGCCTGTGTCCGCTATAACACAGGAAGCATACCACCTGTTTTTAAATGGCAAACTCTGGGGGAATGCTATTAGTTATCATCTTTCAAGGCCTAGTTCAGCTGTCTCCTCCTCTAGGAAGCCTTCCTTGGCTTCCTTAAAACAGAAGTTCCCTCCTTCCAGCCTCTTGGGCTGCATTCTGGCCCCTCTGGGAGTTTGAACCCATTTTGCCTCACACAGACTTTAGCTACAAATTCCACCCCCCATTTTGCAGGCTCAGAGGTGTACAAAGGTAGGGTGGCTCAGGCCCTCCTGCAGGGAGGTGTGCCAAAGAGGTGGTTGGGGTAAGGCATGGAGGCTGCTCAGGGAAGAGCCACTGTCCTTGAGGGGAGAACAGTTTCAATAAATTCAGCCTTGGCAGGTGGCCTAGAATGCGGGAAATCCTCAGATGGGTAAGGAAGGGCTGAGGAAAGAACATTTTCCAGCACCTGGCCCTGACATGGCCGTGTAAGCTCCACTCTGTTTCTTCAGTTTCCATTTGTGGCTACCAGGAATCTGTTTCTTTTTTTTTTTTTTTTTTTTTTTTGCCAATCAGTTTGAGCTTTATGAGGTTGCTCAGGTTAGCCTTGAACTGATGACCTCGCCTTCGCGAGCTCCATGACCTCCGGCGGGAGCCACTTTGGACCCCAGGAATCTGTTTCTAAAGGCTACGGAGGTGGGAACACTCATCCCTCCATTCCTTTCATGCCAGCCATGTGTGTCTATGTGTACAGCCAGCGTCAGAGGGACAGCTACCCATGTTTGACAGATGAAGACGAAAGCTTAGAAAAGCCAAGCCATGTGTGATTGCTGCTTGGTACTATCAGCAACGCTACCACTCTTTCCACTCCAAGCTTGACGTCACTATGTTTTGTTCAATAACTCAATGCCTGTGACTCTACCCCATGCACCTCAAAGCCATGCAGGACCCTGGCTTGGCCACTGGAGCCCTCTTGGCCTACCTGGGTGTCATTCAGCACCCAGCTACTTCACTCCATCCTGCCCAAAGCCTCACATGGAGCTGAAACGCGCCAAGCCTAACATTTAGTTCCTCTTTCCAGCTCCTAGATCACACGTCTGGTGCCTTCCACACCACACTCCCCACCACAGCAGACAACGCCCTGAACTAGAGGCAGCCAGAGATCCTGACCAAGTTCTGTCATCCTGAGCTGTGTGAACTTACATAAGTCACTCAAATTCTCTGAGGCAGCATCCTTATTTCTAAAGTAGGATGACAAGAAAACGTCTGCTCCTCACAGCCGTCCTCACGAGGACTGCTGTTATAAAGAGCCAGGGAGGTAAGGCATCCAGCCCAGAAATGCAGTTTCTATTCCTTGTCTCGACCTTAGTATTCCCACTCTCAGGAGACCACAGAGCCACTCCCAGTGAGGACACTCACTACAATGTATTTTACCCAGGCACAGCCATTTTCACAACCTCAACAGCACTGGGAAATGGTCCAGGGTCACGATTAGACTAAGAACTCTGGAGTCAGATGCTTAAGTTCAAGCGCCTACTTAGCAACTCAGTAGCTGCTAAGCAAGTAACTTAACGGTTCAGTGCCTCAGTTTTGTGATCTCTAAAATAGGGTTGTAGTGAAGGTTAAAGGAGTTTATACAAGAGAAGAACTCACTGCAGTGCTTGGCACAGTTAATGGTCAACACACATTAGTCTCATGACTTCCAATTTCACTTCTAGAACTGGTCCTCAAAATAGTCCCATGAGGTTGCTGAGGCAGGAATTACTTGAAGCCAAGTGGTCAGGTGAGGAAATGGAGGCAGGAGGGAAAGAGGTGCTAGAGGCATAGCATAGACTCAGGCAGTCTGTGTGACTTCAGCCACACACAAGTCACAAAGCCAACTTTGGGTTAGGTCTGAAAGAGAACGGAGAGGCTGACTAGCAAACACATTCAAAACCCAAAAGGATTCAATAGAGAGGGTGCCTGTCCAAGTGCCCCGCTACCCTTCCTGTGCAGTGTGGGGCTGTGGGCCTGCCCACCTGTTGCCCTCCTCCCTCAGACCCTGTCAGTGCTCCCTGGCTGGCAGGGCTGGCCTATCTTGGAGGGTGTCCCAGCGCCTGGCACACAGCAGATGCTCCTGAATCATGAGTGAATGACCGCCTGGGTCTGTCTCTAGGAGAGCCCTGTTTTTCTGTTCTTCCACTGCAGCCACTGTCTGCTAACTAGCTCCCGGTCTCACAGACACTCCGAAACCCTGTGCACTGTGAGAAGAAACTTCAAAATCAGTCGCGCTTAGGTTGTGCAAACACCACCACGTCCAGCAAAGGCAGCCGGCCGACGTTTCACGCATGGCCTAAGGCTTCTGGGGGACCTACCAGGAAACAAACTCCTCCTCCAGGTCCCCTCCTTCCTGGTGTGCTACATGAGTCAGAGACGGGCAGGACCAGCAGGAAAGCGTGGTCTGCTAACCAGGGTGGCTTAAAAAGGTTTTCACTGTGACTCGGCAGAAAAGCGGCGGGCAACGGCGCCCGGGCCCCGCCTACACCTACCACCGGGAGGATGCGCGCGGGGGTGTGGCCTGGGCGGGGCCAGGGTATGGCCCCCCGCGCCCAGAGATTCCGAATACTACACACCCGTCAGCTCCGCGATTGGCCGCTCCGGCCACGGGGGCCTATGGGGTGGTCCTCGTCCAGCCAATCAGGGGCCCTGGGGAGCCCATTCATTCACAAATACAGAGATTGGAAAGGAGCGCAGTGCGGCCCGCAGCTGCGTGGAACTTTGAAACACGCGCGCGCGTCCCTCGGGGCCGAGGCAGGAGTCCTAGAGGGCCGTGGAGGGACTGCCGCGTCCCCGCCCACAGCTCCGGCCCAGTCTCCCAAGTGGTGAGCCCTCCTCCCCCGGCACTCCGCCTGGGGCTCCGCCCCCGGCCCCACCAGGACTTGCCAGCTTTCCTGCCCCCTCCGGGTAGCTAAGAGCCACACAGCCCCAAGGGAGGCGGTGCCCAGGCGGTTTCCCGGTAGCAGGCTCCGGCGACAAGGCCGGCGCAGGTGGCAGCGCCGCGGTTGCAGCCACGTGCGCGCCGAGCACGGTGGCCGGCACCGTTCGTCTTCTCCCCGGGTCTGAGCTCCCGGGCCCGCCACTCACGGCAGTCGTCCTCGTCGCTGTGGTCCGAGCAGTCATCGTCCTCGTCGCATCTCCACACAGAGGGGATGCAGCGCTCGTTTCGGCACCGGAATTGGTCCTCTTCGCACTCCTTGGCCGGCCCTGCGGGGGGAGGGAGCGTGAGCTAGATCAGCGGACTCGGCCCGCCTCCCCACCTTGCAGCCCCGGCCACCCCGAAGGGTCCGCTGGGGAGGCGGAAAGGGGACGATTATGGAGACTCCGGGAGCTTCGGGCACTCTCGACCCAAAGGGAGGGCACGATGGCAGGGAGTCGGTGGATGAAGGGCCGCTGGGTGGCACGACGAGACCAGGCACCTCCTTACAGCGTCACACGACTAGGGCATACTCTCCATTCGGACGCACTCACCCGCACACATGACCCATAGTCAAGAGATCCGCTCAGACACAGCCCAAAGGGAGTCCCCGCACCCGCGCGCCACGCGCACTGGGAGCCGCGGGCACATCCCCCCGGCAGGCAGCCCCTCTCCCTCCGCCGCGCGCAGGGGTCTGCGGAAACGCATTGTCAAGCGGTGCAGCAGTCCGGCTCCGCTCATTACCGCCGCGGAGCGCGCGGGTCAAATAAACCCCAACGGCGAGAACCACAGAGCTCATCCGGAACCATGAACAGCCGCCCCTCCCGCAAAGTTCCCCACCGGCCAAGCCCCCTGCACCCCTCCCCCAAGAGCCTCTGCCCCGAGGGCAGAGCCCTCATCACTGAGGCCCGAGGGGGTGGGGGGCCGAGGGCAAATTCAGGAATAGCCGCGTCGCGGGGAGCCTGTCTTGCCTGGCGACCCCAATAGCCCCGGGTTCGCGCCCCGCCCCGCCCCGCCCCATCCCGGACCTCCGGGCTGCGCTTTGTTGGCGGCGGGAGCGGCTCAGAGCCAAGCCAGGGGCCGGCCGCACGCACCTTGGCCGCCGAGCAGCGGATCAGCCGCCGCCGCCGCCGCCGCGAGATGCTGGAGCCGCAGCAGCAGCAGCGCCAGCAGCGCCAGCGGCCGGAGCGCGCCCCGCTCGGGGCGGCCCATGGCGGGCCCCCGGCTCCGGCCGCAGGGTCCCGCGCTCCCCGCGCCGCCGCAGCCGCCGCCGCGCCTCAGCTCTCCGAGTCCTTGCCGTGGCGCCGGGTCTGCCGCTGCCCCCGCCGCCGCCGCCGCCGCCGCTGCCGCCCGCCCCGGCTCCTCGGCTGCATTTCAAGCAGGTTCGGTGACGCTTGGCGGCGGGGCGGGCTCAGGCTGGGCGCGCGGCCCCGGCCCTGGGCGGCCGCCGCCGGCGCGCGCGCTCCCTCCCGCTGCCGCCTCCGCCCCACGCTCCCCCTGCCGCCGCCTCCTCGTCTTCCTCCCGCCTGTCGTTGGTCCACTCTTCTCTCAGCCGGGGCTCCACAGCCCTGTTTGGGGCTCGCCTGAGTGCTGGGCTCTGTAGACGCGGGGATGGGCTAGGCGAGCCCCTGACCCCCGGAGGCAGCATGTCCAGAGGAATCAGCAGAGGCTTCCTGGAGGAGGTGACAGGCCGATTAGAGGCCGAGGGATGTATAGGAGTGAGCCTGGGCGGGACGGGAAATGATGTTCCAGGGCGCACAAGCCTGTGCAGTGTACGCATGGGGCGGACGAGGAAGGGATGGGGGTGGGGTACCAAGATGTGGATGAGCAAGGAGAAGCTGGGGGCGCAGGGCTGGACCTCTTCACCTGTCATGGACTCCGGCTGGGATATTATAAATCCTTGTGGCTGGTTTCGTTTCCGTGCCCTCGTGCATCTGTGCATGTTGCATGCTCATGTGATCATGGGAGGGAATGTAAGGCAGATGGCTTGGGCCTGGTGCACAGACTATTCATCGTCGTGGGCTTCAGGGGCCTAGGCAGAGGGGCAATCAGGGGGCCCCGCAGGGACGACAAGGAATCCAGGAATCTTCGCTGGATGAGAAAGAGGAGGTCTGGTGGGGGGGCGGGGCACAGAAGGGATGCCATCCCTGCCACTAGGGCACGTGCGATTAGGCCCACGCTGTCCTCCCCTGCTGTCCTCTGCTGGAAGAGGAAGGCGCCTCCTCCTCTGGAGGGCTGCAGCCCACCTCACCCACGCTGGGGAGAACGATTCGAAGAGCAGAGCTGGGATTCGATTTCAGCTGCAGGCTTGTTAGCTGGGTCCAACCCACACAACCTTCTTTAGAAAATGAGATTCCAGGGCATTGGCGGCTCAGCCACCAGAAAGGGGCTTAGAGTCCCCAGAGAGCCCAGTACAGTGCTCCTGCCATCATCACCCCTTCTGTCCCTTGTTCATTCAGTCATTCAGCCAGCATTTCAAGCCCTGTTCTGGGCCAACCCTGTGCTGGGCCTGTGGGTGCCAAGATGAATCAGACGTGATGCCAGCCCCAGGGAGGTCCCTGACCAGTGGAGAGTCAGACCATTAGCATACAGACAATCACCTACATGTGCCAAACACCATTCAAGGCTCAAGGATACAGTGTGGAAACAGTAAGGTTCCTCCCTGCTCTCCTGCAGCTATGTTTTAGTTGGAAGAGATACACACAAAATCGGGAAAACAAAAGATTATTTCAGGTCATCATAACTTCAATGAGAAAAACAGACAGATGTGAAAGCAATGGGGTAACTGTAGAGAAGGTGATCAGGTGAGGCCTCATGGAGGAGGTGACATTTCACTGAACGGCAAGATGGATCCTGACCCATGAAGATCGGGGGAAAGGCATTCCTGGCAGAGGGAACGGCAATGCAGAGGCCTCAAGGTGGGCTGGGGCCTGATGACAGCGAAGGAGTTGGTGCCTCAGGTGAGGCCAGAGGGAGTTGGCAAGGCTCTGATCACCAGGGCTTTGTAGGCCACAGCCAAGAGTTTGGACTCTGTGTCAAGCACAAAGGTGCCTGGGACTATGGGACCAAGGTAGAAGCCCGTCTGCCACCCAAACTGACCGATCTGACTCAGTCTCTCCTCCTCTTCCACCCATAGGGAAGTCAATCCTATTTCCGAGTCTTACTTTCTCATCTGGGAAATGGAAGAGATAACTAATTTCTGAAATTCATTCCAACTGTAAGATTAGTGTGTGGGCGGAAGTATAGTATAGAGGCCGCAGATGGAAAGATGAAGAGCGCTGGCCTGTGGGTCAGACTGTCTGGATTTGAGTCTGTTCTTTACCTTTCTAGTTATGTGAACTTGGGCAACTCAAACTCTGTGGCTCCGTTTCTAAATCTGAAAAAGGAGAAAAGTGACAGTATTCACCTCACGGGGTTGTGGTGAGGATATTAGATGAGATTGTGTATGTACAGTACACAGTATATAGTAGGTGCGTGATAAATGTTAGTTATTGTTACTATTATTCAAACACAATTCCCTGTTCACACACCCCTGATGGCTTTCTAATACCCAGAACCAAGATTGAACCTGGGCATCCCCTGACCTCCCCAAGGGAGTCCTTGCTCATATTGTCAACACACAGCCAGCTGCCAAAGTGGGCAACTCCTTGTCTCTCAGCAGCCCCCTCAGCAGAGGTCCCCCTGGCTCCTCTCAGTCTCCACCCACTTTAGGCCACTTCCCTGGGCCCCTGCAGTCCCTGGGCTTCCCTTTATCACAGCCCTGACCACCCTGTGTTGCCTGGGTCTGCTTATGCAACTGTCTCCCTAGTCACTCTGCGGGCTTCCGGAGGACAGGAGCCTGCTTGCCTGCATTCTTGGATTCTTAGCACAGGACACATTTGACCAATGCTTGTTTCTGTCTTTATTGAAGGTTTTTGTACCCCTAGGAGGACTGTGTCTTCCTCATCTTCGTCTTCAGAAGATAAATACAAGGCCTGACACATTGCAAGCATTAGGTAAGTTATGTTTCCTTGAAAAAGTGAAAACTGCATAAAATAATAGCAATAGCTAATATTGATTGTATACTTGCTGGGGGTCAGGAACCATTCTAAATGTTTTACTTTTTTTTTTTTGAGGAGTCTCTCTGTCACCCAGGCTAGAGTGCAGTGGTGCCATCTCGGCTCATTGCAACCTCCATGTCCTGGGTTCAAGCAATTCTCCTCCCTCAGCCTCTGGGGTAGCTGGCATTACAGGTGCCTGTCACCACGCACCACTAATTTTTGCATTTTTAATAGAGATGGCGTTTCACCACGTTGCCCAGGCTGGTCTTGAACTCCTGACCTCAGGTGATCTGCCCGCCTTGGCCTCTCAAAGTGCTGGGATTCCAGACATCAGCCACCGCACCCGGCTTAAATTCTTTTTCCTGTTTAATCCTTACGACATCTTTATGAGGCAGGTTTTGTGGTTATCCCATTTTATAAATGGGTAAACTAAGCGGCCGAGAGGTCACACAGCTAGGAAAAGACTAAGCCTGCATGCAAACCCAGAGGATGCAAGTGGGAATTTTTCGGGGCACATAAACGGTTAATTTCTGTGAGGGGCAAAGGGAGAAAGCCCAGTCCTTGAAACATGAGACACCAAATGAACACTGAGGTCCTGGTACAGCTTCTGCCACCCAGGTGACTTCCTGTCCTCCGCTACCCTCTCTCTCCATCCTGGGCTGACTCAAGCTTACAGACACTGCCTACCCTGGGTTTCCAAAGAAAACTCCTAAACCCAACTCCAAATGTAATGAATTCTCCCATGAGACAGTTGTAGGTGACATTTCACCAGCTGTCAGTATGGCGCCCTGCCACTCCAAGTCTCCATGTTGGCCTCCAGCAGCCCACTCTCTGCACACTCTATCTACTCTTTCACTTTGTCCCCCAGGAACTGGAGCTTCAGACCTCTGCCAGGCTGTGCCCTCTGCCTAGAACACTCCTGCATGGGTTGGCTTCTGTTTACCCTTTGGGCCTCACCTCCAATGCCTCCTCATCTGGGAAGCCTTCTAGCCTCCTGCACAGCGATCCTCCCTGGTCCTCTGGGCCCCTGTGGCACTGTGCGTCCCAATCTCCCTGATCACACTGGACTGTCATTGTTGGCTCCTCCATCCAATGGGAGCTCCTCCAGTCAGAGACAGGATCATCCTGGTTCTTGCTCTGTCCCCAGTAATGACACCTCTCCAGGGCCAGAGGGCCTTCTGCACTCACCTCACCCAGACTGCTCTGGCAGGCCTTGTGCTAGGTGAGGGACACAGATGAACAAAACTCTACCTCTTCCCTGGAGGCGCTCTGGTCTGGAGGCAGAGAGAGCCTGGACAGACAGTGTCAGCCCAGGGGAACAAGAGCCAGGGAGGGGTCTGTTAAGGGGCCTCAGATTCCACCCCCAGGTACCTTAGGCCGAGTCACCAGCCCAGCCAGGGTCAGAGAGCAGCAGCCCCAAGCCAATCACAGCCGAGCTGCAAGGGCAAGGGTGCTCCACTGTCCTTCACTTACACTTCACTTCACTGCACTTCTCCACTGCCTTCACTTTAAGCAGGTGCAGCCCCAGTCCTTCACACGGTATTGCGAGCCCATGGCACACTTCTCCGTGTCACTGTCTCTCTGTGTTTGTGTCTCCGTCTCTTTCCCCCTCCCTCTGAGCAGGTAAAGTGTCCTGATTCCTGTAAAAGAGAGATTCTAATTTACTACCTGAGCTTTACACAGATCCAAACTGCCATAGTTTAAACCACCTGTTGCGCGTGTGACCTGGGGCAAGTTACTTTTATGCCTCAATTCTCTCATTTGCAAAACATGGATAGCATTAGCTAATGTTTCCTAATGCTATCAGTTACCTATTACTGCCAAACCAATTACCCCAAAACTTAGCAGCTTCAAACAGAAATACACATTTATTATCTCTCACAGTGTCTGTGGGCCAGGAACTGGGGAACAGCTTAGCTGCATGGGTCTAGCTCTGGGTCTCTCATGAAGTTGTAGTCAAGATGTTGGTGAGGCCGCAGTCCTCCGAAGGTTTAACTGGGGCTGGAGTGTCTGGGCTGGCTCACTCACACGGCTGGCAAGTCTCTTTTGGCTGGTGGCAGGAGGACTCCATTTTTCACCATGTGGCTAACTCCAGAGGACTGCTTGAGTGTCCACATGACATCGCTGGCTTTCCCTAGGGAGACTAATCAAAGAAAGAGAAAGCAATGAAGTCACAATGTCTTATATGACCTGACCATGGAAGTCATGCTCCCTCCTCTCTGCAATATCCTGTTGGTTACATGGCTCAGCTTTATTCTATGCAGAAGGGAACTATGTGGGAATGTGACTCCCAGGAGGTCTATATTGGGCTATCTTGGAGGCTTGCTGCCACACTGTCGTAGGATTTGTGAGGATGAATTAATACAGTTCTTCCTCTGTATCCATGGGGGACTGGTGCCAGGACCTCCTGCTGATACCAAAATCCTCAGATGCTCAAGTGGTTGGTAGAAACTAATGCAGTATTTGCATATAATCTATATACATCCTCCTGTATACTTTACATCATCCATCATCTCTAGGTTTTTTATAATACCTATACAATGTAAACGCTGTGTAAATAGTTGTTATGCTGTATTGTTTATGGAATAATGACAAGGAAAAAAAAGGCTGCACGTGTTTAGTACACATGCCATTTTTTTTTTCCTGAATATTTCTGATCTGCCGTTCGTTGAATCAAGGATTCAGAACGCATGGATGGAGACGGCCAACTAGGTATACACTTACACAGTGCGCACTATGTACTCAAAGGCCTTCTGAGAACTTAAGTACACACTATGTAAGCCTTTGCTATTATTATTGCCATTGTGGTTGCTTCTGCTACATAGTAAGAACTCTGTAAGGATTATCTACAGTTAATATCAGCTGCATTATTGCTATTCGCTGCAGACCCCCTTCACTGTGCAGAGGAACGGAGAGGATGAAGGTGGTTCCGGGGTTCATAGAAAAGCAAGACAGACCCAACCTCCGTGTCTTGCCTCTTGGCCATGTGCTTTCAGGAGGGTGGAGTCACAGTACCTCCTCCTCTACTGCCTTATGTAGGATACTGAGTGAGTCCTGCTCCCTCTCTGGGCCTGGGGTGCCCATCTCTAACCTAAAGGGTTGCCCTAGGTCACTATTTCCTGTAACTGCAATCATTCCCATCCGCTTGAGTTACTTTCTCTATTTCCCCTTACCTGCTATTGCCGTCCCAGTGTTCCCCTTAATTCCTTTCACTTAGATTTAGCTTCATCCTAAGCAATAATCTCCATGAAATCACAGGCTTGATGTGCTTATTATATTTTTCCAATACACATTAAAGTAAATGTGTGGCTATTCATGTAAACAATGAGCCGCTGTGCCTGCAGATATGTCTCTTTTCTCTAAGGGCCATCAGCTCTGAGCTCCCTGTTAATTCCAGGGCGGATGGAGGGCAGGAGCCCTGACTGCTCTGCCCATGCTGACAGGCATTCCTCAAGGTGACTTGCAGGTGGCTCAGGCCCTGGGTGCTCACCCTGAGTCACATGGCCTTCGGGGACAGGCTTAGTACCTTTCTGTTTGCTTCTATTTTGGGTTTGTTTTTATTTTTTAAATTGTTTTTTATATTTGTATTGATTGGTTGAGACATGGTCTCGATCTGTCACCCAGGCTGGACTGCAGTGGTGCAATCCTGTCACTGTAATCTCCACCCACCCCAACCCCCGACCAGCCCCAGACTCAAGTGATCCTCCTACCTCAGCCTCCCCAGTAGCTGGGACTACAGACACACACCACCACATCTGGCTAATTTTTGTTTGTTTTTTAAGTAAGGACAGGGTTTTGCCATATTGCCCAGGTTGGTCTTGAACTCCTGAGCACAGGCGATCACCCGCCTCAGCCTCCCAAAGTGCTAGGGAGTACAGGGGTGAGCTACGTCAAAATCCCCTCCTTCCTCCCCGCCAGCCCCAGAAACCACCATTCTACTTCCTTTATTTATGAGTTTGACTACTCTAGGTACTTCATGTAAGTGAAATCATACAATATTTATTCTTTCGTGAGTGGCTTATTTCACTTAGCATGACACCATCAAGGTTCATCCATGTTGTGGCATGTGTCACAATTCCCTTCCTTTTTAAGGATTGGGGATAGCACATTGTATGTCTACTCCACATTTTGTTTCTTCATTCCCCTATCAGGAAACACTCGGGTTGGTTCCGCATTTTAGCTATTGTGTATAATGCTGCTACAAACATGGGTGTACAAATATCTCTTCAAGTCCTTGCTTTCAGCTCTTCTGAATATACTCAGAAGTGGAATTGCTGGATCATACTGTGTTTCTAGTTTTTATTTTTTGAGGAACCACCATAGTTTTTTCCGCAGCAGTTGTATCATTTTATGCCCCTGCCGACAATGTGTAAGGGTTCCAGTTTCTCTATGTCCTGGCCAAAACTTGTTATTTTCTGTTGTGGTTTTAGTTTGTTTGTTTGTTTTTGAGACGGAGTCTTGCTCTGACGCCAGGCTGAAGTGCAGTGGCACAGTCTCAGCTCACTGCAACCTCCGCCTCCCGGGTTCAAGCGATTCTTCCACCTCAGCCTCCCGAGTAGCTGGGATTACAGGCACGCGCCACCACAGCCGGCTAATTTTTGTATTTTTAGTAGAGACGGGGTTTCACCATGTTGGCCAGGATGGTCTTGATCTCTTGACCTCGTGGTCTGCCTGCCTCCGCCTCCCAAAGTGCTGGGATTACAGGTGTGAGCCACTGCCCCCGGCCTGTTTGTTTTTTATAACACAGAGCTTTGTTGAGTTGTAGGAATTCTTAGATCTTTTAGATATTAACCCCTTATCAGATATATGGTTGGCAAATATTTCCTTCCATCTCCATCATCAGGCTTTTCACTCTATCGATTCTGCCCTTTGGTACACAGAATATTTCAATTTTGATGTAGTCCAATCTATTTTTTCTTTTGTTGCCTGTGCATTTGATGTCATATTCTGAAAATATTTCTATATGATCACAACAAAATAAATGCTATTCATAGGGGCCATGATTAGTATTTTTTTCCTGCACACCTTTGTGTTTTTCCCTGGAATTAATAATTATTATGTTTTGCTTTATTGCTTTATTTCTTGCTTAGTTTTCTATGTATTTCTCTCTCCTTCCTCTCTAAACTCTCCCTCATTTGTGTAAATCTTGTCTTAGTACAATCACCCACATTCAATACAGTAATCCCCACTTATCTGGAGTTTCACTTTCTGCAAATTCATTTGCCCAAGGTCAACCATGGTCTGAAAATGTTAAATGGAAAATTCCAGAAATAAACAATTTGAAAGTTTTCAGATGCGGGCTATTCTGAGTAGCACGATGAAACCTCAGGTTGTCCAGCTTTGTCCCACCTGGGATGTGAATCATCCCTTTGTCCAGTGGGTCGGCACTATAGACACTCCTCTCCCATCACTTACTCAGCAGCCCCCTCAGTTACCAGATCAACTGTCACAGTATCCCAGTGCTTCTGTTCTGGTAATCCCTATTTTACTTGATTATGGGCCCCAAAGCGCAAGAGGAGTGGTGCTGGTGATTCTGAACACTTTATGCCAAAGGGAAGCTGTAAAGTACTTCCTTTAAGCAGAAAGGTGAAAGTACTTGACTTAATAAGAAAATTAAAAAACAAAATTGCGTGCTGTGGTTGCTAAGGTCTACAGTAAGAATGACTCTATTCATGAAATTGTGAAGAAGGAAAGAAATTTGTGCTAGGTTTGCTGTTGCACCTCAGGCTGCAAAAGTTACAACCACGTGTGATGAGTGCTTTGTAATGATGGAAAAGGCATTAAGTTTGTGAGTGTAAGACACAAATAGAAACATGTTCTGATGACAGCAATCAGGTTCCATTGCGGGTATTGGAATGTATCCCCAAGGATAACGGGGGAGTACTGTATTCTACCCACTTACTCCTCTTGAAGGAGTCCCTGTGGATTTCTGACTGCTGCGTCGTGGACTGGCTGATGGCAAGGCCAGCTGCTCTGGTTGTCACTTGGATACTGTTGTGCACCTTTCTCCTGGGTCGAACCCCTCAATTCCTAGGTCCCATGTCTTCCTCTTTCTGGGTTCACTGCTTTATTTGGGGGAAATGTACCCATAGCTTTCTTTTTGTTTTACTTTTTATTTACATATTTATTTTATTTTATTTTTTGAGATGGAGTCTCCCTCTGTCACCCAGGCTAGAGTGCAGTGGTGTGATCTCGGCTCACCACAGCCTCCGCCTCCCAAGTTCAAGCAATTCTCCTGCCTCAGGCTTCCAAGTACCAGGACTACAGGTATGTGCCACCATGTCTGGCTAATTTTTGTAGTTTTAGTAGAGATGGGGTTTCTCCATGTTGGCCAGGCTGGTCTCGAATTCCTGACCTCAGGTGATCCACCCACCTCAGCCTCCCAAAGTGCTGGGATTATAGGTGTGAGCCACCGCACCTGGCCACATACACCTATACCTTTCTAAAGGATGTGTTTGAGGTAAAATCTAAAGACCTTGCATTTCTAAAAGTGCCTCACATTTAATCAGATAGTTTGACCAGGTATAAATTTCTAAACTGGTAATATTCTTCCCTCTGAATTTTGAAGGCTTGCTCCATTGTCTTCTAGTTTCTGCTGTAAAGTCCAAGGCCATTCTGTTTCCTAATCTTTTACAGAGGCTCTCTCTGTTCCCTCTAGAAGCTGTGTCCTCAGTGGGTCTTTTCTTTTAAGAGATGGGTTCTCATTGCCACCTAGGCTGGAGTGCAGTGGCACAATCATTGCTCACTTTAGCCTTGACCTCCTGAGCTCAAGGATCCTCCTGCCCCAGCCTCCTGAGTAGCTGGGATTACAGGCTCACACCACCATATCTGCTTAGCCTTAGTGTGTCTTGAAGCGAATCAATTTCCATTCATTGTGCTGGGCATCCAGTGGGTCCTCACGGACAAACTAATCATCTTCATTTTGGAGGCAATTTAAAAGAAGTACCTCTATAATGATTTTATTTTTTCTTTCAGGAACTCCTTAATTATTCAAATACTGGCCCCAGACCAGTTTTCTATATTTCTTACATCTTTTTTTTCCACCTGATTTTTTAATCCCGTTTTGCTCTTCATTCTGGAAATTTTCTTCAACTCTTCACAGTTTTTTGTTGTTTTTCAAAAATGTATCTTTTC